TCGCTCAGCCAGTGAGTGGCCGGTCTGTATGTGGGATCCAAACCCTCGGCAGGAGCGTCGCCACACTCCCAAGCGGCGCACTGTAGCAGTGCGCCACCAGGCCGGCCCAAGTTCTTCCCTTTCTAAAAAGTGGGAATATTAGCACCTACTGCCTGAGGTTACTCTGAGGATTAAATGAGTTAATATATGCAGAACACTAGATCAGTGCCCAGTACACACTGAGTCCAATGTGCATCACTTAGTTACTATTGCATTATATGCAAGTTCAATAGAAACTGCAAACCAAGACAGTATTTCCATTATTATGACTAAATCTAATATTGCCAACTGCAGAGTTATATTGTATCTCTTTACATAAAGACTGCATTTCTTTCTAAACAGTTTCGGTACCATAACCCTTGCATAGGGCGACCACCTATCTCAAGTTGCCTGGAATGTTCCAGTTTACATCCCTTGTCTTGATGTCAGCAATAATACCCATAGCACCTCCTTATACCAGTAAAAAGTGTTCTGGTTTATACAACAAAGTAGACAGGTGGTCACCTACCACTATGCCACTGAAAAGGGGTCATTTGTAGCATCAAATTCAAGTGATTCTTCCCTTTCACACATCAATGGTAGCATAAAAATTTGCCATAATTTATTTGCTTTATGTTTGTGCTAACCAGCCTTTCTCTCCCTCTAGAGTATGATTCTCTCTTCCTTCCTTCCTTCCTCCCTCCTTCCCTCTCTTCCCCTTCCCTTCTAACAGTGCCTAATACATAGTATATGCTTCAAGGTTTCTTAAGTTCTCAATCACACAATCAGTGGGAGCCTCTCAAATCTAGACTGGTTGCTCTCTGCACTGAATCCACTGGTTCCTGAATGCCCTATTATCTTCCTTCTTAGTCTATTCCCTCATTTTGCTGGGTTAAATAAGAAAAAAGGTATAGCACAGGAGGTAAACTTTCAAATTTGTTTATGTACAAAATATCCTATTCATCCCCATATATGATTAACTGTTTGGCTGGATACGAAACCCTAGAATGAAAATTATTTGCCTCCAAATCTTTGGTATCTTTCCAATGCCTTCCAGGATCCAAGGTAGCTAATGAGATACATTATTTCTCTCTGGAATTTACCTCTTTTCTCAATATCTTGAAATTTTACAGTGAAGAATGTCTATTTCTATGCATCTATTTTCATTCATCTTGCTCAATACAGGGGTAGCCCTTTTCAATTTGAGGCTTAAGGTTTTTTAACTAGGGAAAATTTTCTTACTTTTTTGTTTTTTGATAATTTCCTTCCATCTATTTTTTTCTTTCCTCTCTTTCTTATAGTAACATGCTGCACCTCCCAGATGCAGCCTCTCTACCATATCATTTCTGTCATATCTTCCATTTCTGTCTTTCTGTTCTATATACTGAAATATTTCCTTAATTCCTGCTATTTTATTTCAACAATTGTATTTTAATTTCTAAAAGACCTCTCTTGCTTTCTGATAATTCCTTTTTAACAACACCCTATTCTTAATTTATAGATGTTGTATCTTTTAAAACCTCTCTAAGGATACTAAGTAGAGTTTTTTCCTAAAGTATTTTTGTTTCCTCAATTATCTCTGGTCCTACCTGTATATATTTTTAATCTTTTTTTTCCTTGTCAAGTTGTAAATTTTACTCAACTATCAGGTGAACCACGGTTATCTTCTATTTAAGAATAAGAGTAGAGGGTCACTGGAAGCTGACACCTGGCTGCTCTTTATACATGAAGAAGTGGGTAGTCAGTTATGACAAAATATTCTCAACCATCCTTTTCTAGGATCCAAAAATCCACACTAGCTATCCTAGTTTTCCCCAGAGAGTTTACTTTTTTTCAAAGTCAAATGATCTCATCTGAGGAGAGTGAAGGTGGGGCTGGGAGTTAACTTTTCCATATAAAAACTGTCAATGAGCTCCCCTAATTTAGTCACATTTCCAATTCCCACCCTCTCTCCTACATGCATTTCTGAGTATAGAGCTGTTTCTGCAGGGGGATTATAATCCCTCTAAGTTGTAGGCTGCCCCGTGCATGTTCTAGGTGATAGTTTCCCTCTGTTCTACTGGTTTGGTTTCATATTCTCACCTCTGTCTTTCAAAAATGTTAAAATCTCTTCTATTCTCCTGATTGTTGTGGATTTACACATTTTAAAATGTTTGATACCATTATTTTAGTGTTTTCTCAAAATGGAGAAGAGCTAAGAGGGTCCTCAGTGAATCTTAAACCAGAAATCCCCTAGTTACAGTTCCTAACCTTCTTGGTCTTCTCCAATGGCTATAACCACTCTCAGAAATACAGCCATCTAGGCCCCTCGTAAAGGAAATGAGTACAACAAATGTAAAATGACCATGAACATGAATTAGATGATCTAGGATTTTGTCTTTACTCTGCAACTTAGTAATAAACCACTTAAGTGCTACAAACTGTAGGTGTTCATTTATAAGATGAAAGGTGCAATTCTATATGATCTATAGATTCCGCTGTCTTCAACATTCTATAATTTTGTGAGTACTTATCTTAAAATTTCTTATAACTATCATTAATTTTAATTTTTATTAAAAAGAGAAAATGTTTTTCCTTTTTGAAAATTAAATAGTGATTTCCATAGTTGTACGTATAAAAATGGGATAACAGCCCTTCCATTACGTGAGAACAGAGCAAGAAGGTGCCTTCTGTGAGCCAGAAAGTGGGTCCTCATCAGACACTGAATCTGCCAGAGCTTGGATCTTAGACTCCCTAGCCTCTAGAACTGTGAAAAAAA